AAATGTTAGTTCAAAATTTAATCATAAGCCAAAATTTTCATTTTTTTTATTTTAAAAAATATTAGCGCTTAAATATTCATATTTAATTTATCTCATTAAAAAAACTCTAATTTTTGTAGAAGAGATTATTATAAAGTGACAAACCTGGATAGAAAAACTCTCAATCTAAGTAATTACAAGTATCACTTTAATATTAAAAAATTGAAGATCTAAGTAACAAGACAGATATGAGCAGAAGAAGATGAAGTTTAATTTGAAATATCATCAACGGGATAGAAACCTATTATAAGATTTCAAAATTAGTCTTTCATTTTTAAAACCATTGTATTATACTTTCCATATCATAGAAGACTGTCAGAAAAGGAAAATGAAAAAATAATTACACATCATCAATATTAGCCATATCATTTTTGTTAATAGAAGTTTAAAGCTAGAAACTAACCCCAAAAAGAAATCAATAGTAAAAGACTCCATCCAAAAAAATAAAAAAACTATTTAAGCTATAATTTATATTCTCTCTAAATAATTTATCTTTTGTAATATATTTTATTCTTTAATGTAATTATTAAATTTTTTTTATACATTTTATATATAATATGTATTTTAGTATAATAAATTTGAAAATAATTATTTCTTAAAAAATATAGTTAACAAAGACTTTTACTTTACCTTTAAATTTATTATTTATAACTTTAGCTTTTAATAATTTTTAAGATAAAAAAAATTAAGCCAAAAAAATTACACAAAAATATTTTTTCTTTGTATTATTAAAAATGATTTCTATAAAAATATTTTTCAAAATATTATAAATTTTTTTAAATACGTTTTTTTCAAATTGAAAGACTAATTTTTACATCTTATAACGTAAACATACATTATTAAAGATCAAAATATAATCGAAATCTTAATTTTTTTCAAAATAATTGTATCTCAAATATTTTCAAATTTAATCGTGATTTTGTATCTCAAAAAAAATTATATCTCAAAAATATAATCGTGATTTGTTTTGAAATTTTGATATCTAAAAAACGTTTCAATGAAATAATAAAATAACTAAAATAACATTTTAAAAAAAAGTAAAATAAAATTTTTAAAATGACTATTTATACCAAATTTTTATATGAAATTTTTATGAAAAACTTCCATTTAAAATTTTTTTACATAAAATATCTAAAAAAATATGTAATATTATAAAAATCATTTTATGAAAAACTGCTCAAAATTGGAAGACTAATTTCTTTTGATAAGAAGATATCATCCCATCATATTTTTTCTCTAGTGCCTTTTATTTTAGTACTTTTAATAATAAACTCAAATTAATTATTGAGAATTAAAAAATATTATACCTTTTGACATATTTATTTACTATTAATATGAATTGTATATAAGGAAAGGGAATGACTGAAATATATTTACTTTAATTATGAAAAATTTATTCTACTGAATATTATTTTACAATTTTAAGAATAAAATATTAAATATTATCTGTTAATTTTATAATTAGCAAAGGATCCATGATTTGCACGGTCACGCAATGCCTATATGAATATTAAATAAATATTATATAGTTATGGTTAAGAAAAAAAAATTAAATATATATATATATATATATATATATATATATATATATATATATATATATATATATATATATATATATATATATATATATATATATATATATATATATATATATATATATAAAACTAAATTAGTATTGATAATGTTCTAACATAATTATATTAAAGAAAATAACAAAAATAGCGTTCCACGAGTCACACAATGTCGAAAAAATATTTTAAATGATGATTGTTTTATAAATATAGTACTCGAGCCCATACTTGAGTGAGATCCAACATTTATATCCGTTCTTATGGGTACCCAAGTATTCATACACATATTCATTTACCCGCATATATGATAAAAAATTATCAATCAATTGTGATTTATCAGGTCATTTTAAGTTTTTACTAGCATTTCAATATATATATATATATATATATATATATATATATATATATATATATATATATATATATATATATATATATAATTTTAGAATTAAGAAATAAATAAAAATATTTGTAACTTACTCCTGTTTATAAAAATATTTAAAACTTATTTTCTTTTATAAAAATATTTGTAATTATTCTTGTTTATTAAAATATTTGTAACTCATTCTCATATATAAAAATATTTGTAACTTATTTCTGTGGATAAAAATATTGGTAACTTATTCCTTATTTTGGTGGGTTTTAATCCTATCCATTATGATTAATTTTGAGGGTATATGTAGCATGCCTTGTTTATCTCTATATAAATTAAATTTAAAAAAAATTATAATAATTAATTATGAAATATGAGGGACTATAATCTTGCTTCAAAAACTTAAGATATCATTTAATTAAAAAAAAATAGAAACTTAAGATACCAATTGAATAATATAATTAGTTATTGAGAGAATCAATTACTTTATTGTTTAACAATAAAAACTCATATTATATACTTAAACAACACAAAATTTTATTTACTTCTCATTCCAAATAAAAAAAATATTATTTTAGTCATACATGATTTAAAATCTATACATTGAAAAATGAGAGTATTATTTTTTTATTATAAAACATATAAGACAATAACATTTTTTTGAATCAAAGAAGGAATATATTAATTCAAAAATTCCTAATTCTATTGTTTTGTCAGCCTCGATAAATCACATTATCTATGATTTTTTTAAAAGATATGTTGTTTCTATAACTCCAAATGGTGTAGATGGTTTCAGCTGTTAACATCTTCAGGACATCAGCTTTCCATCATTTTTCCTTTGTTTGGTTAGTGATCCACATCAGTTCCGCATGACAGTGCTGAGTTTCATGTTGTATGTTGAACCATTTGAGTATTTCTATCCATATGTGTCTTGTACTTGGACACGAGAAGAATAGATGACTTATCGTTTCCTCTTCAGATTTGCATCCCAAAATGTTTCAATCTTTCTTTGGTTGCAAGTTTTCCATGACAAGTTTGCCATAAGCATTGGACTGTTCGTGATTGTCCTTTTTTGCATCTGATCAGATCTCTTCAGTGCACCCTTGTGCCATTATCTATTAGTATCTTATAAAAGGTTGTCGCTTTAAACTTGTGTGGTCAGAGCTTAGTCCCTTCATTCCGTATCAAATCCATATTGTCTCTTTGTTTCAAGATGCCCCGCAACACTATAACATGAAATAAACTTAAGATACCAATAATAGAAGAATTTAATAATATCAGTAGTTGGTGAGAGAAAATATTACTCTATTATTTAACAATAAAGAATCACCTTATATACTTAAACAACAATAAAAATTTATTTATTTCTCATTTTAAATGATAAAAAGAAAATACTATTTTAGTCCTATGAAATTTAAAAACTATACATTAAAAAAAAAGTTATATTTTTTATTATAAAATTTGTGAGACTCTAACGTTACTTTAGAAAGCTAATATATTATTTTATAAAAAACAAAAACTTAAATACCAGTATTTGGGAGAATTAAATAATACCAGTATTTGCTGAGAGAATCAATTACACTATTGATTAATAATAAACACTCACATTATATAAATTTAATATAACATAATACTAATTTTAAGTTATATTTGTTTTAAATTGTTATTAAATTCCTGATTTTTATGTTTTAAATTGTAATTATATTATTATTAATTTATAATTTCAAAATCAATTTAATGCTTTTAATATTTTTATAATTTCTTTGACAATCATTAACTTTAGTTGTTAATACTAAAAAAAATTACGTGTTCCAAGCAAGATTTAATAAATGAAAAATAAATGAAAAACAAACCAATAATATTACATAATTAAGAACTGACATTTAAATTTAACATAAATATAAATGTCAATTAAGAAGATTTAAATTTTAACTTATAAAATAAACACTTCCTTTATTACTCTTTCAATATACTCCACTTTTAAAAAGAATTATAGAAATAATTCATTTGGTTTTTGTACAACAATAATCTATGCATTATAGAAATATTAAATTTGAACCACTAACAATAATAAGCTTAGAAAAATTACAACATTTTTTTTAAAATAAACAAATTAGATTGTTAACCATTAATTCAAATAAATTACACTATCATAATTTTTTTTACCATAATTAATTTTTGAAATTAGTAAATAAATCACTTTACAATATCACAACATAAGAAAAAAAATACATTATTTTGCATTTAGATACAATTATAAATTTGAAATAGTCTATTTAGTTATAAAATGAATTATGATCAATTATTAAATAAATTCAATTGTATTAAATAATCATAAGATTTAAATAGGTATTATGTATGATAGTCATAGTGAGATAGAATATATATATACAGTGAGATAGGATATATAACAAAATAGGTATTGGACTGACAGTGACACTGAGATAGAATATATATATATATATATTTATTAAAATATATATTTCTTAAAATAATAGATAATAATTTTTTTTTATAAATTTAAAGACTATTTGAAACTTAAAGGCAGAAAAAAATAATTCGTATTAAATTTATTATTGATAATTTAAAAGTATATTAAAATTTGATATGTAAAAATATCTTATCCACTGAATCCTTTCATAAACGATGAATGAGTGTGATATTGAAATTAAAATAGCAAAATTGATTCTATATATAATAGAGGATATTTTTCACACGAAACGTTACTTTTATTTTAGTACTTTTAATTATAAACACAAATTAATTATTGAGAATAAAAAAAAAATTATACCTTTTGACTGATCTATATTTACTTTTAATATGAACTATATATAAGGAAAGGGAATGACTGAAATATATTTACTTTTATTATGGAAACTTTATTCTAGATAATATTATTTTACAACTTTAAGAATAAAATATTAATTATTATCTATTAATTTTATAATTTGTATTCATATATAAACGCATATTGTTTTGATTTGATAGCCATGCCATTCAAACACATTTCAATAATGGCTTCCAATATTTCTCTCCTTTTGTTGTTCTCCTTTCTTACAACATTCCTTCATTTTATTATTTTCACATTTGCTCAATCTGATAATTACATCATTCACATGGATTTATCAGCTATGCCTAAAACATTCTCAAATCAACATAGTTGGTATCATTCCATTCTTTCTCAAGTTACTACTACCAACAATTATCTCAATTCTTCTTCTTCTAAAATCATTTATACATACACTAATGTTATGAATGGTTTTAGTGCTAATCTTTCACCTCAAGATCATGAATCTCTCCAAAACTCACCTGGTTACATTTTTTCAATGCCTGATATACCCTTGAAACTTCACACAACACACTCACCTCAATTCCTTGGCCTTAATCCTTACAAAGGAGCATGGCCAGCTTCTGAGTTTGGTAAAGATGTCATTGTTGGTGTAATTGACACTGGTGTTTGGCCAGAAAGTGAAAGTTTCAAAGATGATGGAATGACTGAAATACCCTCTAAATGGAAAGGGAAATTATGTCAATTTAATAATTCCGACCATTCATCTTTGTGCAACAAGAAACTCATTGGAGCTAGATTCTTCAACAAAGGGTTCTTAGCAAAATATTCCAACCTTAGTACAACCAACTTGAATGACGCACGCGACACAACAGGTCATGGGACCCATACTTCAACAACGGCAGCCGGAAGAAAAGTTGATGGTGCATCTTTCTTTGGTTATGCGAATGGAACCGCAACAGGAATAGCTTCAATGTCTAGAGTAGCCATGTACAAAACTATAGGGGGAGATGGATTAGCGACACCATCTGATATAATGGCAGCAATTGATGCTGCTATGTCCGACGGTGTCGATGTTCTTTCAATATCAATGGGCGCCCAAGAAGTGCCTTTTTACG